GCCGCGACCAGCCGCGGCGCGAAAGGCAGTGGTGCCAGAAGGTCTGGCAGGCGCTCGCCAAGATCCTGCCGCTCCCGGCATTCCAGTACATGGGACATCACGCCTTTCGGGAGCGTCAGCCGCCAGACGACGAGGTCAACTGGGCAGAACGTCGCAACAAAAACTACACGCGAAGTTCCAGGACTAAACTCGGCAGGCCAGACGGGGAAATCATCGAGCAGGTCAGCGTGCTGAAGGACTACGAACACCAGCTGAAGGCGTGTTTTGTTGACAACTGGACGTGCGATCTTGGAAAGACGGGCGCCAATGGGCCTGCATTCATGAGAGAGCTCTGGAGGTGTCGGAGAGACTAAACTTCTCTCCAATGTCTTCCTCGTCCTCTTCCTTGACCGAAGCGGGGTCCCTAGCTTCTGCCGGTCTCCTCGCGAGCGCTCTCGCTCGCCTGCAACTAGGTTTGGTATCATACCTGGCCATCGTCGCCCCGACGATGGCAGCTCATGAAACAGATTAAATATCACATCGGGGCAAAGCAGGCACATCAACGACTGCAGGCGAACAATAATGAAGCAAACCGTGCAAAACCAGGCGAGAGAGCGGACCGGCGGAAGCTGTGGGCACCGCTCTGCTGGGATACGTGGCTGGCCCACTGGAGGGATGGGACTTCATCGAGCTCCTTGCCCCTCTCAGAGCCGAGCTGGAGGTGGCCATCTGAGCCACAGCCTGAATCATGCAGATGCCACACTTGCACGCTCACGATTCCAAGATGCACTGGTCAGGCTGTGCACCACCTGTCTGGCCCGCCGCCCCGGCCACAAGCGGGGGGGAGGGGGGTTGAAACGCCGAGAGCGGGCAAGGAGGCCTGACGATTAGGGGGAGTACCCAAGAAGGGGAAGAGAGGAAGAGGGAAGAGGAACCGGACGGCGGAGGAGGCGGGCGCGCGGCCGTGGGACCCGAGCCACACTTCCAGCGTCAGGCGCGCGCGCCCGCCTGAGGAGGCAAGGAGCTGGGGAAAAGAAGGAAAGGAGGGGGTAAAGTGGAGGGAGGGAGGGACACTCGTCGAACAAATAAATCGCACAGCCAGGGCTGCAGGCGATAGGTGCCAATGTTGAGATGGTGACGAAGAAGAGCAATAAAATCGTCCAGCAGGTCGCGGTAATGCAGGAGGGGCTAGCAATCGAGAAAACCACGTTAACCCAACTGCGCGCCTGCGAGCGGCACCTCGTGGAGATGAGCCGCGAGGACGAGTAGGAGGCGGAGGCGGAGGCGGAGGCAGAGGAGGAGGAGGAGGATGAGGAAACGGAGGAGGAGGAGGAGGAGGAGGAGGAGGAGGAGGAGGAGGAGGAGGAGGAGGAGAGGAGGAGGAGGAGGGAGGAGGAGGAGGAGGAGGAGGAGGAGGAGGAGGAGGAGGAGGAGGAGGAGGAGAGGGAGGAGGAGGAGGAGGAGGAGGAGGAGGAGGAGGAGGAGGAGGGAGGAGGAGCAGGAGGGGAGGAGGAGGAGGAGGAGGAGGAGGAGGAGGAGGAGGAGGAGGAGAGGAGGAGGAGGGGAGGAGGAGGAGGAGGAGGAGAGGAGGAGGAGGAGGAGGAGGAGGAGGAGGGAGGAGGAGGAGGGGGAGGAGGAGGAGGAGGAGGAGGAGGAGGAGGAGGAGGAGGAGGAGGAGGAGGAGGAGGAGGAGGAGGAGGAGGACGAGGAGGAGGAGGAGGAGGGGGAGGAGGAGGAGGAGGAGGAGGAGGAGGACGAGGAGGAGCAGGAGGAGGAGGAGGAAGAGAACGAGAGGGAGGAGACATAAGGGTAGGAGGAGGAGGAGGAGGAGGAGGAGGAGGAGGAGGAGGAGGAGGAGGAGGAGGAAGAGGAGGAGGAGGAGGAGGAGGAGGAAGAGGAGGAGGAGGAGGAGGAGGAGGACGAGGAGGAGGAGGAGGAAGACGAGGAGGAGGAGGAAGAAGAGGAGGAGGAGGCGGAGGAGGAGGAGGAGAATGAGGAGGATCACTGTAAACCCAAGAGGCATCAACGATGTTGGAATAAACCCTCCCTCGAAGCTCCCACTTCATAAGCCCCTGCAACGGTTCATTTCCATTGACGGAACTGCCTGGTTGGAAGACAACCTTTGAAGACTCTGCAACACACTAAAACGTAGTTTTCGGGATTCCAACGCCACGGACCAACCTGACTATTGCGTGTTGACGATCCAGAAACGTGCCATAACGCCATTCCTGGAACTTCAACACGGCGAATCAACGTAACTGTTGCGCCCGCGTAATCCTGAATCCTTTCAAAACACCATTTCTGGCACGTTGATGGAACTGTTCTCAATATGTGAAACTCTTGCGAAATTTCCCAATCAGAGCTCGCCTCTGTAGCGGTCCTAGCGGATTCATATGGTTAGCTGGGGTTTGGCGCCGATTTTGGCGGCATGCCTGGGTGCCCGGGTGCGTGGGTGACTGGGTGCCCGGGTGCCAGGTTGCCCTATAGCCCTGTAGCCTTATAGCCTATAGCCCTATATCCCTATAGCCCGATAGCTCTAATACTGCGCCGGTCCGAAAGTTTCCCAAATTTCGCCTCCGTGCTCGCCGCGGACATCTGGGGTGGCGCGCGCAGGATAAGACTCGCGGGGCCCGAGGGTGGATGGGAGCGATGTCGCGAGGGCAAAATCGGCGCGCCGACGGGCAGCCCAGCACCCCGTGTGGCCGGAGGGGCCCAATACAATGCAAGGGCAGAGCCTAACCCCCGCCCGGGGTCGCGGGATCGGGTTCCCCGTCCACATGTAAAATTAAACCCCAAGCGGTGTACTGACCCGAGAATGAGCAAACGACATCGGACGTCCTCGAAAAAACTTTCGGGCTCGGTCATGCGACGACCCGGCAAGTTTATCGGACGACCTGAAAATGGCCAAATCCCATAGGACTTGTGCCCCTAAAAATTTCGGGCCCTGTTCGAACGACCCGAAAATGTGCAAACCGCCCAGGACTTCTTGCAAAAACATCGTTCTGGAGTCGAGGTCCTCGGGCCCGCTCCGAAGAAACCGAACATGGGCAAACCTCCTCGAACATCCGATCGCAAACGGTTTCTTTATGGTTCCGGGCCTCGTCCGAAGGAGCCGCCGATGGGCAGACCGCTCAGGACTTCCTCGCAGGAAACGGTTTCCCGGGTGAGCCATTGTCAGCGGGAGCGCGCCCCGTGCGGGATCGGGGTCCGCACGGGGGCGCGGCTGCTCTCGCCTGTCCAAGGGTCATGCATTGCCGCGCCCTTCCAATGCAGCGTTTGCGCTGCATTCGCGCGGCGGCGTGCCTCTCAAATCGGAATAAACTTTCGGAGCGCCGATGTAGCCTTACAGCCCTATAGCCCTATAGCCCTACAGCCTTACAGCCTTGCAGCCCTAGATCCCTACAGCCCTATAGCCCCAAAACCTTACGGCCCTATAGTTAACCCTATAGCCCTATAGCCCTAAAGAGATTATGATTGGGTTTTTCTCCGGCATCATTTTTAAACGAATGTGCGCCGCGCTCAGGCGAGAGCCACATTTTGGAAAGGAGCCGCCCTCAATCCGTGAAGCTCTTATAAATTTGTAAAACGAATGTGCGTCGCGCTAAAGCGAGAACCGCATTTTGAAAACCACCCAACTTCAATCCGCGAAGCTCTTGCAAATTTTGTGAAGCGAATCGGCGCCGCGCTAGCGCGAGAGCCACATTTTGAAAACCATTCGCCCTCCATCTGTGAAGCTGTTGTCAATTGTGTCGCTTCAGAAGCATAGATGGTGATTAAATCTGAGGCGAAACGTCCGGCCCGCCCTAAAAGCTGGCCTCGGGTGCGTCAGGGGCAAATTTCTACAAGGAAAAGGAATGGAGAAGAAGAGGAGGAGAAGGAGGATTCTGCTGGATTCTGCTGGCCTGACCTCCGAAAATGCGAAACTCTCACCACGGCGGCGAAAACGAGCCTGCCACCTACCCCCAGGCCTGTCCTGGGCGACAGGGCGGAGTCTCCCGAAGCGCACGCGGCCGAAACATCGACCACCGCGTGACTAACGGCGGCGGCGCGCTCCGCGCGCCGCCGCAGGTCCCCCGGCCTCGCCCCGGCGGGAGGGTGAACCGCCGTGGGAGCTGTGAACCCCGGGGGGAGGAGAGGAGACGAGAGGGGGAGACGACGAGGAGAAGGGAGAGAGGAGGAGGGGAGGGGCACAGTCCCACAGCAGCCTACCCCCCTCCCCCGGGGGAGGCGCGACCCCTCCCGCCTCCGCCAGTCCTGCGGCCTGGTCCCCGGCTCTACTTATACCCAGCCGATCCAGGCGGCGCCGACCACCCCACTGGCTCCGCCAGAGGGTAGGAGTAGGAGTAGGAGTAGGAGTAGGAGTAGGAGTAGGAGTAGGAGTAGGAGTAGGAGTAGGAGTAGGAGTAGGAGTAGGAGTAGGAGGAGGAGGAGGAGGAGGAGGAGGAGGAGGAGGAGGAGGAGGAGGAGGAGGAGGAAGACGAGGAGGAGGAGTAGGAGGAGG